TTTAAAGTTCAAGCCCTTACATTCTATGACCTATGTTCTAAGGTCCCTTGAATTATACTTTCATTCTCTCTGTTAGATTCTTGTTACCCTCCCACTTTTGGTCTGATGTGTTCTAAGGCCCCTGACAGTCTATGTTCTAGGGTCTTTTTCATCTCTGACTTTCTGTATTTCTAAGGCCCCTCTTGCTTTGATATTGCATTTTACTACTCTAGCTTCTTTCGTCTGTTTCTTTAACTTCCATCACTAGAGAAGAAGTATCCCCCCTAATGCTCTGGTGTCCAGCTTTACTGGCACCTCCTTAGGCTGGACATCAAGGCTTTCTTTCCAACCCCATGGTTCAGGAGCCACAGCCAAAGCTCCCTCCAGAAGAGGGCACCACTGTCCTCTGTCCACTCAGCAGGGCGTCAGGTCCTGTGACTTTTCCATCCATTCTCAGAGTACATCTTGAAATGACAATGAGTTTGTTCTTTCTTCCCTCCCCAACCATAGCTGTCCCAACCTCTTGTTCAGATTTCACCAGATAATCAGGCTGCACAGGTATAGTAGCGTGTCAGGGGGGTAGGAGATCTCTAGCTAAAGTCTGCAGCCATTCTGATGGGCTCCACCCAGAAGGTGGAATCTCATTCCCAGCTCCCTTGCCCCCAGGCTGGGCACAGGATGGGGCAGACCATGGGGGAGCATAGATCAAATCTAGCAAACCCATTTCCTTTAGCAACTTCCTCCCTTGCAGATCCCCATCTGGGAGCAGGCCGCAGTGAGAATTCAGCTTTCTGGGGACAGTCAGTAACTCCTCAATTCGGCCACCTAAAGGGACAAAGGGTGATCCCCATCAGGGGACTCTCACTGCTTTAACTGACTCTAACAGAACATCCTCAGAGCGCTCCCCTAGGGAACCTCATCAGATGTCTCAGCTCTGGCTCCATTAGACCACACCCTCAGGCCCAAGGCTCCAGGGACTCATCAGGTTTCTACTGGACCTTCTCATACAACCTGCCCAGAGCCTTGGTGGTGAAGGTGTATCCATCCCCTGCTCCCTCAAAGGAAGAAATTCTCCTTCACTGGGGAGCAGGACTGAGTCTCCAGTTTCTGTTTGAACCACAAGGGAGCACTCCCCTCTCCCTTCCTCCCTTCTGCTCTCACTCTCCTGCCTCATGGCTCTTATTTCTGCAGCATAGAGCAGAGCCTGCACCTCTAGATCAGAGACCATACAGGTTCCTAGCAGGGCCCTGTTGGCCCCCTCCTCTACCAGAAGAGATCCCTTCAGTTGTGCTGCCACCAGCTCTGTTAGTTGCCCCTTGGCCTTCATTACAAGGTGCTTAAAAGCCAAGAGCTCTGCCTCTAGTAGTGGAATGGGCTGGGACAGTTCACCCTCAGTCTCATTATGCTGGCAGTCCAACTTCTCCAGGATGGCCAGCAACAAGGAGGGAATGCTAGAACATGGTGTTTTCTTTGCTCTCTCTGGCAGCCACCTCCAGCTCCATGAAGCTAAAGCCTCTGCATGAGTGGGAGCTTCTCCCCGTTCCACTGAGAGGCATCCCCAAAAGGAGCAGAATGGGTCGCTGCCATCACTTCCGTAGTGCCATGTCTGCTGATCCTGATTACCCCATGCTCTGTATGCACACTGGCCTTCCTACAACCAAACCATGATGTAAGCCATGGAGCCATATCATTTCATTCCTATTACTGACTATACCAGTGTTAGAGGGGGGCCTGAAACCTGTTATTTACCCTCTTATTTCAGGTTTGATGTTGGATTAAAATGAGGCACTTCAAAGTCATTGAACAGGTAACAAAAGCAGGTTTACTTAGCCCTAACACAGCAAGGAGATTGAGCCAGGATAAAATGGCACCCAACTTCCCTAGATATACCCACACTCACCCCATCCCCCACCCCAACTGATGTTGTCTCCACATGGAAACAGATCTGCTCAGCAAGCCAGGGAATGACAACTCTTCTGTCTGGAGACTTCTACTAAGTGGGAGGGGCCCTGATCTCACCTGCATGTGATTTTATATGCCCTTAACTGAACAGGAAGCCACATTAACTATCCAGACTCCAACAGGATGCTGAGTCAAGCTTGGACCTTGTCTCACTCCCCAACTAATTAAGTCCTTGGTTTCTTCCCTTTTTCCTAACCCACACTGGGGGGAAGGAGGGAACCCTCATAGATATTGATCCAATCATTCCCTTGGTCCTCTGGATTCCTGAACTGCATTCTACCTCCTGAATCTCTAAAGTTGGAAGACTGTTGGATCTTCATGACTCTTTCTGGTATCTCAGGACAGAGGGCTGGGCTCATCAGAACCCCTGGTGCCTGGGTTATCTAGTAATGGACACTTTCCTGTTGCCCTGGTCACTGCCCTTACCCAGGTCATCCAAAATCTTTGCTCTGGGCTTTTTTGACCGCCCCGGTATTTTCTCAAGGGCCCCTCCTTTCTTGCAACCTCCAAACAGTGCCTTGAAGTTTACATACATGTCTCTTTTCCATGACTGGTCATGTTTGTCTGTGCTGGCCCTGGTTTTACTAGTGTCTCCCTATGCCATTGCCCACTGGATTCTGGATGATTTTTTGGTACAGTTTTGAAATGAAGTTACTTCACAATTTCATTGGATTTCTTAGTCATTATGATATGGATACAAATGGTACCCTAGGGGTTAAAAAGAAGATTAAGGGTTGCTTTTTCAGTATTTTGTGAGACCCTTCCAGAGGGGGGGCTCATTCTGTAGCTCATCCTTGTGTGAAATTCCAGCAGTTTGGTTCCCATTCAAAAGGAAAACAGAACAAGGGGAGATTGATTTATTGGTTTACCATTTTACACAAATATGTAAACAAGATGAGGGGAGATTGGTTTTCACAGACCCTACAGAAACAATAGATATTGCATTGCAAACACAGATGTTACACGGGACATGCAGGAATGGTGGGACAAGATGGGGGTTAAAGCCAAGTAATCCTATATAACCACTTGCTCTACTTCTGTATAGGTGTGTGGGAACATACACACCCAATTCTCTCAAGAATTGACAGTAAAGGTATCTCTTCTCTCACTCCACAATTGTAATTTCGTTATTACCCAGCTAACTCTTGTTCAGGGAATTGACCAAGCCCAGTGTTCCCTACCCAAG